GACATATTTTTTATCTTATTTTTTCTAAATGAAAAAAATAAATATAACACATTGTAAAAAATTTGTAAAACAGTGATTGAAGCACATTTTGCTGGCATTGTACTTACTATTTATGAATATGTTTTATATAAATATGAAATAATATATATATATATATATATATATATATATATATATATATATATATATATATATATATATATATATATATATTGTAAAGTATCATAAATATGTTACTATAATATATGCCTTATATATAGTGTTACAATTAAAAAAAATTCCAATATCAGCATAATTAAAATAAGAAAAACACACACATATATAAATATAAGCAAATATACACTTACAATTGTATATATGCGCACATATATACCTGCTAAAAATTAAACATATGCTAGGATGTGAAAGAAGATTACAAGATCTTGTCACCAGAACCTTATAGAATACAAGCAAGCAAAATAAAGACAAGTATAACATTCTAAAAAATAAAGTATATTATCAAGTGAGAAAATACATTTTTTTAGAATGAGCTTGAAAAGATAAAAGGTAGATGGTTGATCAAAATTCTGCCGAACAATATTATTCCGTAAGTGGAGTCCACGATAAGCAATGCAAAATTAATTAAATTTTGTGCGACAAAACGGCTCATTTAAAAAATTTATGTTTCTCATATTGTATTTGTTGTTAAGTTTGAGTTTGAAAGTATTATAAAAAGCGGTAGGGGATAAATTATTTCTCCATAAATATTCAAAATATATGAAACTTAAAATACGGTCAAATAAATTTAATAATCTCACTTCATTAAAAAAAGGTTTTGTATGTGTAAAACAATAAACATAGTTAATTATGCGCATCGCATGTTTTTAACGACGATATAGAAGTTTTAACTTTTAACAGTACTCCCTCAAGCAGTGTTAGCATAATTTATGTAACTGTGGATAAAAGAGTAATAAAGTTGGCTTAGGCAACTTTTAAATAGGTAGCTCCAAGCTTTATATAGAATTTCAATGTTTTTTGAAATTTTAGTAGATACATAATTATTGTGTTGATTCCAGGAGATGCTTTTATGGAGATAAACACCTAAGAATTTTGTAATGGGATCATTTTTTATTTTAATTTTGTCTATATAAAAATGCGGCAAGTTTGTTGGTAAAAATTGCTTTTTTGGAATAGATTCCATTTGATTTTATCAATATTTAAAGTTAGCTTATTAAATTTAAAACAATTTGATATATGTTTTAATTCTTTAACCATAGTGGTAAAAAGTTCATATATATTACTGCTTGAGAGGAATAGATTGGTATCATCTGCCTACATGATACTTATATGGTTATGTAAGAAACATTAAAAAATTAACATTAACAAAAAATGTTTTTACATTGTGCTATTAAAGCATTATTTTAACCAAATGTTGTTACATATAGGAATTTTTTCAGATGTAATTACATCTGGAGAAAATTCTTCCAGATGTTATTGGACTTGGAGAAAAATTAAAAGATGTAGTTACATCTTCCTAAAGATGTTATTAGGGTTCGTTGAATTTTCAGATGATACCAGACAGATGTTGTTAGAGTAAAAAAAAAAAAATACAGATGATCTTGGACAAAAGTGCACAGATTATATTAGACTACTTCACAGATGTTGTTGGACAGATATAGTAATCTTTTCACTTTTTTTAAAGGTACTGCTTTAAAAAAGCAGTATCTTTATTTCCATAATATTTAAGTTTTTGTAGTAAAATAGAATGATCTACTGTGTCGAAAGCTTTTGATAGGTCAATGAAGATACCTAGCAAGTACTGTGACTTTTCAAAAGATTTTGAGATTTCATGCACAAACTGGATTTCGCTCGCGCCATCAGGTGTCGAAAACAACAGCTAAGAATAATGTCATTAGGCGTCTTTGTTGATCTAAGTAAAGCTTTTGATAAGGTAGATCATAATATTCTCCTGCACAAACTTAAAAATTATGGTATCTTAAATTATAACTTAGCTTGGTTTAAAAGTTATCTAACAAAAAGGAAACAGTAACAATTTTAGAAAACAAGGATCAATTTTAGAGCCCTTTTTGTTCCTCATTTATATAAATGACTTAAATAAATTTTAAAGTATTTTAAATTCAATCCTATTTGCAGACGACTACAACTTATTTTATTCTGATAAGGATATTAATTCTTTATTTGAAACAGTAAACAAAGAGCTTGCAAAACTAATGGTTTATAACAAATAATTTATCCATAAACATTAAAAAAATATATATATACTTTCTTCCATCGTCTTCATGAAAAGAGACTTATCCCATTAAATCTTCCAAATTTAGTTGTAAATAACTCTTGTATAGTAAGAGAGCGTTCATTGTTATTTCTTGGTGTTGTTATTGATGAAAATGTGAGTTGGAAGGAGCACATAAATATAATTCACAATAAAACTTCGAAAAGTATTGACTACTTTACAAAGCTAAGCTGTTATTAAATCAAACCTGTTTAACATACATTTATTTTTCATTTATTCATAACTACCTAAGTTATGCAAACGTTGCCTGGTGTAGCACTTATTCAACTAAAATAAATAAAATATTAATTAAACAAAAGCATGCTTTAAGAGTTGTTGGAAATGTAGACCGTTTCTCACACACTAAACCTCTATTAATTAAATTTAACATTCTCAACGTATTTCAACTCAATCTTTATTAAATTCTTATTTTTATGTTCATAGTTAATAAAAAAATATCACCTATTTTATTTGACTCATTTTTGGAAAAAATAAATCATCTATACCCAACACGATTTTCAGAAAACAATTATATTTAACCTAAAACCTATTACTCTGTTACTAAATTTTCAATTGCAAACAGAGGTCCTAAACTATGGAACACGCTATTGAATAAAGAGTTAAAAACTATTTCTTCTATTAAAGATTTTAAAACAAACTTAAACAAAAGCTTTTAATAAATGACGACGAATTAAAGTTTTTCTGAATCCTTTGACTAAGAGTTATCACGTTTGTCTATTTATTTTATTTATTTCTAAATATTATTTATATTCTATATATACTGTTAGTCAATTTGTACATTATGAGGTTATTTTTTATTTTATTTTATATAATAAACTTTAATAAAAAACATATAAAAAAAACATATATAAATTATTTATACACATTAAGTTAATAAAAATGTTTTTAAAAATGTTAGTTTTTTGTTTTGTTTGTTATTCGTGTATTATCTGTTATTTTATGATTTAAATTCAAAAGGTTTATAAATCTAAAATCAGTTAGATAAATGAATTTAATTAAAAAAATAATTAATTAAAATATTTTCGTATACTTTTGGTTATATTACTCTCTAACATATTTTATTTTTTACTTAACGTTACATTTTATTTAACTTTATTTTATTTTAATGCAACGTTTTATTTAACGTTTATTTAACGAGTTACTTTGCTTTGTATTTTTAATATCGACAGTTTTATTTAAAGCGGCTTGGTAATAAGACTTTTTTAGTCTTCCTCTTGCCCCAGCCATGTATTATATATTTGTAATGCATAAACTTGTAAACTTTTTTTTATCGGTGAAATACATGATAATAATAAAAAATGTTTTTTGTTACTTCAAGTAAAAGTTCAATTGTTAAACTTTTATTTAAACGAAGTAAGGATTTGTCAATATCAGTAAAAACCAGTTTGGACAGCTTTTCACAATCCCCTCCCACCTATCCTTAGTGGTCTTTTACACTTCATTTTTTTTAAAACAAAGGCAACTACAACAACAACAAAAAAATACTTCTCAAAAAATTTCAGATCAATCCGTCAAATATTTTAAAAGTATAAATAAAAAAAAAAAAAACATGTCGCGCAGATTGTGCGCGACTAGAGTTAAAGAACAGTTTCGCGTTTTTGTATAATGTCGCGATTTTTTAAAGTACTTGATAACGATATAAATATTCCTTCGAAATAGGGTATAACTAAATATTTTTAACAAATAGAGTTAAATCCATAAAAAGTTTTATTTTAAAATAATTTTTTTTACAAAAACTGACGTCACTAAGCAGAACTTAAGCTTTACTTCTAAAGTAATATTACTACGAATGCGTCTATGATTATATATTACGAATGCGTCAATAATGCGATAAGTATAATTTATTTACTTACGTTAAGTATAATTTATTTACGAAACAAAAATTTTTCAAATTTCTTCAATGACTATATTAACATTTAACTTGTTATAGTTAAAAATGCTTTCAACTCTTTAATTAACAAATTATTCGAGTATTATTAAAAAAGGGCACCTTATTTAAAAAAAATAAGAAAAATTGAGATTTTTTTTTGTTATTATTATTCAAATATGAGGAACAAGAAAATTATTGAAAGCATTTCTTAAGTAAAAGTTCGCACGAACGATCGAACAAAAAAAAATCTCAAAAATTGAGATTTTTTTTTGTTCGATCGTTCGTGCGAACTTTAACTTAAGAAATGCTTTCAATAATTTTCTTGTTCCTCATATTTGAATAATAATAATAATAATAATCTTAGATAAGCAGTTAAGTAGCAAAGTAAAAAAAAAGAAAAAGTTATGGGATAAAAGATTTCCTTAAAATCTACCATTTTTATTAAAAATCTAGAGCCTCATTTCTACACGGTACAATCTTTTTGTAGCTCTATACACTTTAAATATATTTATATACTTCATAGTTATAAAGGAATAATAAAAAGTTGATGTTTAGGTTGCGAAAAAAACTTACAAGAAATCAAACTTGAGTGTTTCGTTAAAAGTGAATAAATATTTCACAAGTAAGAAATAATATTATTTACAAAAGCGATCGTATCATATACTTCATACAAGTATATCAATTTCCAAACAGATATGAAAATTTTTTCTTAAAAGAAGTTAGATATAAAAAGTTTTAAATTTTTGTTTTGAAACATTAAAAATAAGCACTAAGACATATAATTGAAACAAAACAAAAATATTGAAAAGAAAAGTAATAAAAGGGAGAAAAAACAAAAAATTAAAAGCGTCAGATTTCGAACGAATAAATGCGTACAAATGTTTCAAAAAAGTGTCGATTAATGTATACTGATAGAAGATTACATTAAGTACTTTTAGCAGTAACACCGCCTATTAGAATTTTTCCGTATGCTTGCTCTGGGGCAGTAGACTTAGATACTGATGTACCAACACCATTAATATAACATGTAGTAGATGTATCGGTACCATCTAGCTGTACACCAACGATAGGAGGAATGTATCCTTTCTGACCACGAAATGGAAAAGCACTTATCAAAAAACCGGGTGGAAAAACTTTAACATTATTCTAAAAAAGAAAATCAAAATAAGCTTAACAGCAATATACCACTTATACCACCTAAAGGGTCTCCGTAACGTACGTACGCAGGTATAAGGAGTGGGGGGAGGGGGTCCAAAAACGTACAAAGCGGGTGGTGTTAAAGACTTACTTACTATAAGTACGCGGTTTGAATATCTCTCCTAAAACGTTATTTTATTTTAACTAAGGCATTGAATTTCGTGTGTAAAAATAACAATATTATGTTATGTAACAGAGAAATATCGAATTAACACAAGGTTTTTTGTGTTGAGAAAGGAGAGGGGGTGATTTTGTAAAAAGTTATGCATAAGGAGAGGGGTTCGAATCAGCGGTTTCACTGCGTACATACTTTATAGAGGCCTAATATAACATTGTCTAACAAGCAGATCAACAAATTAGGTAAGCAACTAAATATTGTAAGCAAATAAACACATAAGAATTTGTTTAAAAATTAATGAAAATGTTTACCGAACAAGTAAGATTTAGATATAAAGAATTCCCAATAGGTTGAGGAACCCAATTGAATACCTGAAAAAAAAATTAAAAAAAATTAAAACCAGAAACTAATGATAGTTGATTGTTTTACGTGCAACAGTTATATTTGACTGTCTACAAGAATTTTGCCAAATATAAAACTTTTCAAATAAATAAAAGTATAAAAATTACATCAAATACTGTTTGTAATTAAAAATTACTAACAGTATTTGATGTAATTGAAAATAATATATAAAATGTAAATAAAATGTATAAGATATAACGCGGAAAATATAGGATGTAATTGCGAAGCTTATTAAATGCAAAAAATTTTAAAGCTATACTTTTAAAGTCTGTTCTTTAGTCTAAATAAACCTAATGGCAAATTGAAAGCAAAATGAAACTAAACTTGCTTAAAATCGCCATACTTGTTAGAACAAGGCTTCATAAGTAATAAAAATACCTTTTTTATATTTATAGATAATTATAAATTTAATTGTTTATTTTTTAAATCTGACCAAAACTCCTGTTCCATCTTGCAGCTAATGTCTGCTTCAGTCAAAAACAACCAAAGAACAAGTTTAAATTTTAAATTAAATGATAAAATGTAATTAATTGAACTGAAAAAAGAAATATATTTTAAATCATAGCTATATTTATTAATATCCACTTCAATGTCTTCTATATTTTAAATTGTGATGTAACAAGTGATAAGCAATCAGAATAACAAAAATTGAAAATTAAAAAACCAAAAATTGAAGTTTTCGCAGAAGTAACAATATCTTCTAAATATTACACTTGTTGATTCACAATCCCAGCACCAAATATAGGTGAAATGACTTGAATTTCATTCATAATCCTAGAACTAGGTAAAATATGATTTGTATTTATACCACTGGGTTTATCATCAGTCAGTATGGTCTTAAACTTAACAACTGTTTAATTTTTACATATGAGCATGCAAGCAAAAAAAAAAAATTGCATGCATGCTTATATGTAAAAAAAGAAAAAAAAATTCATCTATAAAATATCAGAGTATTAACAGTTTTATGCTGTGCATGAATTGTGTCTCTGATAGTGCTTTTGGTGACCATAGAGACCAGATAAGAAGTCTTTTATTACAACATTGAGTGGATTAGCAGGAATGAAACAACAACAGCTTTTTGTTTTGGGTGTCATACACTATCTATGATTGAGCCAAGTGCTTTAATATATATATATATATATATATATATATATATATATATATATATATATATATATATATATATATATATATATATATATATATATATAAATTACCTATAAATATTATTAAAAAAAAACAACTAATATTACCATATTGTTTCTATCTATCTTTTAAAAATATTTATGCTCATTGAAGAAACTTTTCATACATTGAATTACTCTTTACCAAATTCACCAGACCTACTTGATTTTTACGAAACTAATTTAAACTGTTTCATCTCCTGATCTCAATGTTGATGGCTATTATCTTTCTCATGACTGCATGCTTTTGAATTTAATGATCATACTCTTCCTATCATCCCAGAAAAAACTAATACAAGTTAATCCATTGTTGGACATTCTTATAACTACAAGTTTTGTGGCTGACCTTATTTACTCTTCTACAACTTGTGCAACAACAATTTCAGTATCAAATTTACAAAAATGTGTTCTACAGAACTCTACTCTCACTCTAAACTACTTAACAAATGCTTATTTGAATCTTGTTTTCTTGCTTGCTGAAAAATCTGTACTTCCAATTTTTAAAATCTCTGGAGATTATGCTGACCTCTTCAACAATTGTCTGATCAGTGATCAGGTTTCTGATTATTGTTAGCAAAGTTCTTGAATCTTTAATTAACAAACTTTATCTCATTTAACAACTTTCTAACAATAATATAAATTTATTAGATGAGGCTGTTTTCTTATTCCTGATTTTACTCTCTATAACCTTCAAATTGCCTTTTGTATTGAATACTGCTGCCGTATTTGGGCTGGTTTTTCTAATGAGGCCATCACTAATTTAAATAAAATTCATCTATGGATTGTAAATGTTGTAGGACATGCTCTTGCTGCCAACTCTATAAAATTGTTGTAAGGTTGCATCTCTTTTTACTTTTTTTGCAATACTACCACGATGCTGTTCAAGCATCATCACTTGTTACATAAAGAATTAATCTTGTAATTAATTAGTCATTCAAATCCTCTAACTGTTTCTTCATTCTTAAAAAAACTTTTATTTATATATTTTAGATTGCAAATTTACCCTCAAAGAATCTTACTGCTTTTAATAGTGACTGCATTGGTTGTAGTACATAGACCCAAGCTTGTGATAACATAACTGAGCAGTCAGCCCTGTTATAATTAGCTGATAAGATGGAAAGCAAAAGGTGAAGAAAAGGTTGTTGATCAAATTAGCTCAGTATAATGCTGACAGGTTAAAGATCAGGAAACCCTTGTGGGCTTTGAGTTTCCAATCTTGAGCCCAATTAACACTGAGAGCTGTTAACTCCGAAAGAAGTGGCACGCGTTGAAAATGGAACAAGTTCCTGATGGGTAAATAGAGCATTAAAGGAAGAAGAAAGCTTTTATGTTTTTGGATGTATTCAATAATTTAATAAAAAATTGACTTGTACATTTGTGCCGGGTTCTCTGTTGTATTGCACACCATATTCAGGAGGTAGATGCAAATCTGACAATATGCAATAGAATCTAATGCTGGTGATCAACTTTAAAAAAAAAAAAAAAAAAGCATAAGATATATTAAAAGCCAAGTTTTAAAACTAAAGGTTTTCCTAGCTCTTTCCTAGCTAATTTTTAATAATTATAAATAATATAAAATTATATCAACTTTTAACAACTTTAATATTTCATAAATACAAAAAAAAAAAAAAGTTAAATTTTACACAACAAATTTAAATTCAAATTTATATATATATATATATATATATACATATATATATATATATATATATATATATATATATATATATATATATACACAAACACACACACAAAAATTTAAAATAAATATTTTAAACTATCGAAGTTTTGAAAGTTTAAAACACATTAAAAGTCATTTTGTTGTTAATATTGCATCAAGATTAATTTAATATAGGTGCCTCAAGAAGTCCTTATGGTCTTATCACAGAGCACCACAGATGAGCATTTAATTGGAAGTTCACCCCTACTTCCTAACCGATGTCGCAAAACTTGCCCAGAGGTAAGGTTTGAACCACAGATCTTTTGTTTCTCAGGCAAGTGTGCTACCACTGCGCCACGGCTGCTCAAAGATTTAGCATTTTAGTCTTAGTATCAACTAATTGCAGCTTATTCAAACCTGAACTATTGTTACTCTAACTATTATAAACAATTTTGAAAAATAAGCACAATACCTTGTTCATACGCACAAAAACACAAGGCTTTCCTACAGCCAACCCAAAAGAATCATTAAGACAACCTTTTAAAAGATTTCGGTACGGGTAACGGCAAGGTGGTTGACCAGCTGGAATTGGTTTACGCTCTGTAATTGAACAATCTTCAGTGGTGATATTATCATATCCTAAAATGAAATGAATTTTTTATCAAATACCAAATTGAAAAAAATTTAATTTCAGGAGTTTATTTTTTTAAATAATAACCAAAAAATAAAATACATCAAATAACTAGATAAAAAAAAAAGCATTCCAATGAAAAAATTATTGAATTAAAAGTATGCTCAACATGTTATTTAAAAAACATACTGTTCTGTCTATAAGAACTTTGTTAATGTTTTTGCATTATGGTCAATGTTCTAGAGTACATGCACTTAATAGATCATCAACATTAACACATTTATGAGTGGTTTCAAAAATATTACTTTACTTTACTGTGTGTGCGTGCATGTGTCTTGGTGGATGTGTGTACACACTCACAAAGAAATAAATTTTAATAAACATTTTCATATAATATAATGATATAAAAATGTGGTTTACATATTTCTTTGGTGGAAATTTTCGGTTTATTCTAAAGCACAAACCACATTTTAACAAATGAAACTGCAAATTACATTTTATTATATCAATTTACAATTTTCACAACAAAAAACTACCATCTAGTTCAAAATTGTGCTCCTATATGAATAAAAAAGTACAAAATTTTCTAAAGTTAAAATAAGAAAAAAATTTGCAAAATGAAATCATTATCTTACCAGCAAGAAAACTGTTCATGAATTTACTATATGCTTCTAGATAAGTAGTATCATTAACATTATAAGATCGTAGACTATTAGAACCAGTGTCAAGTCTGGTTAAGCCTGTATATTAAGAATGCATAAAATCTTCAACAGAAAAGTCAATTAAAACATCAAAACTTTAAGTTATAATTAAAAAGTTTAAAAGTTATTTGTAAATGTAAATTTTGAAATAACATAAACAAATATAATGGTAAATATACATATAAACATAATAAGCACCTGGTTGATTTTTAATAAACTGTGTAAGAGTAGGTCCCCCTTCACCGTCCACTGGATTTAATGTAGTTATAAAAATAGCTAGCATAGCAGCAAAAAAACCAGCCAAAAATCCATAGAAAATTAAATAAAACAATCCAATTTTAGCTAAAATAATAAAACAAAATATGATTTATTCTATTATTAGTAGCTCATGTTAAAATATATTAGCATATACCAAAATAACAATAACTATTATAAAACTGCAATAATGTAGTACTAACCCCAATTGATACCAGTTCTACCCATGAACTCACGAGTTTGACTATTCCACATGAACTTTCCAAAACTTTGACAGCCATCATTACATTTTTGACCAAAAGATTTTTTTGGAGCAGCAGCTCCGGCCTTTATATTTTCGGTTGACATTTTTTAAATAAAAACCTATAAGTAGACAAATCACACTCTATAGAAAACACAACATAAAAGGCGTAGTATTAGAAACATGCTACAAGTTGTAAAATAAAAAGACTAGGTCGTAGTGGAATAGCGGAAATATGGCGCTTTTATTTAAAAAAAAAACAACAAATAAATTATTTATAAACAATCATGTAGCAGAGCCAAATTTTTAATTTTTTTTAGATATTAATAATAGCTGAAAAACAATTAGAAAAAAAAAATTATGCCCCGCATTTACGTAATGCAGTTTACTAGTTTCAATAATATAGTGTAAAAACTACAGTCTTTATTTTCTATCGTTTTTCATAAATCTTTAATATTATAATTAGTAACAAGATGTAATAAAATTTTTATATAATATAAGAAAAATAACCATTGCATACTTTCAATTGTAGCGCGAAACGTCATAAAACCGGTTATTGCTTCTATAACGTTAAAGAAAACACTAATTTTTTAAGCTTAAAATAAACATTACGATCTAAAAAAGTTTATCGAAAACATATTTACAAAAAAATATTAAAAAATAGTAAAACAAAATATTTATTTTTGATGCTATTAATTTTTTGTTACTAACCTTCCCTACCACTATTTTTATAACAGTTACCTTTGTTTTGTTGGTATTACTCTATGTTTTCGCCTTTACTTACATCCATAGCGCAGTTTTTGCAACTTCGTATACGTATACATAAAGTATATGTATATATACATAAACATAAGGAACTGGTTGAACCGCCGCAGTTGAACTGGATAAATAGACTTTTAAAAAATACCGGAATGATTGTTTGCAATCATAAAGAAAATAATCCCTATTTTTTTGTCAGATTATTTTATCTAATCAAAATATTGAATTTTTATATTATCACAACAAATATGCTAAATGCGACCTTGATTTCAAAAACTAGAGTTTCTTGAATTATAAACCATTTGATACCTCGTTTTATAGCGTTTCCTATTCTGATGAGAAAAGCAATTATTTTAATAGCTTACACCAAAGCATTATTTTTTGACGCATTAAATAATTCTAATAGCATGCTTTTTTAACTGATTCTAATTTTTATTGCTAAAAATAAAGAAAAGTTTTAACTTTTTTTAGAAAACTTCTAAACATTGTTAAAAGTAGAAAAATATACGAAACAAATTACATGTTTGTTTTTGTTTTTTATAAATAAGAAACAACTTTAAAAGAAAAAAAAGTTCAAATATGATAAACAAATAAGAAAATTGAAAGGCAGTATATTCGGTTTTAAACACTTTTCAAACAAACTATACTTTATTTACTGATTTATATATATTTATTCAGTCAATAAGATTTTCCAATGTTTTAAGTTTATTAAAGTATATAACAAATTTATCATACTCTTAAAAATTACGATAAATAGGAATTAACTAAAATTAGGAAATAAAAACATTGCATTGTTCTCCTTAATTATTTCTACTAAACAAAAGAGCTACTTAACACAGTTAATATTTTTTAGTTCTATTTTTTAGTATTTTAATAGTTTTTTAGGGTACGTGCCCCATTTTTGCTCCTACTTTTTTTCTAAAGGACCTTTTTTTTTTTAGAAAACTCAAGACAAAGAGGACTTTTTTCAGAAATTGACGATTGTGTCCCTCCACTTCGAGACCCGTGTCGTCGGCCATGTAAATTAATGATAACACTTTGAATAAATTGCTGAGAACACTTTGGATTGAAATAAAATTCTCGAATTAGTTTGAAAGATATATAATAATCATAAAACTTTACAATTTTCTCATATAACCTTCTTTTTAATTAAATTTGCTCTCTTAGAACTTTGATAATTTGAAGTTAAAGTTTTGTAAATAAACATGAGTTAAAATAGCTCAAATGTTGCAGACCAGATTTCATTATGTTTGTGGTTACTGAGACAAAACGAGATAAATCAATTATTAAAACTTATATTGAGTAGAACAACTAGACTACTCTATAAAGCGTTATTATTAAAAAAACGATTAAAAATCATTTGAGGATCAAATTGCTCCAAGTTTAAGAAATAAAATAATAAAAGTGTGCTTCTTTTTTAAAAAAAGCACACTTTTTTAATTATAATATCAATATAATTTATACCACCTGTAATATATTATAAAACAAAATATTCAAAACCAAGGCAATACACCGAGATAAAACAATAAGAGTTGGAAAACAAACAAAACCATAAATCCATAAATAAAGTATAAATACACTTAAGTAAAACAACTTACTTCATTAAGACATTTTCAATACAATAAAAAATGCAACGTAAAAATGCAATATGTATGTTAGGACGTCTAATACAACAATAGAAAAAAAAAAAAACAACGCTGCTACGTTATTTCATTATTTAGAGATTATAATCTCTACTAGTAGAAATTATTATCTTTACTAATTGATTGGTAAAACAGAACTTACGCAGCACTTTCCAAAACTGTATAAAAATATAAATTTTATGATTTTAAAATAAAAATAGTTATAATAACATTTCACTTATATAAAAAAATATTATATAATTTATGATCATTTTAATTAAATAAACGAGGCGTTCAAAAACAAAGTTGCATTAACTATATTTTTGATGTACCGTGAAAAGGGAGCTCTCTTTACACGGTACATCAAAAATATAGTTAAAGCAATTAAAGGGAGCTCCCTTTACATGGTACTTCAAAAATATAGTTAATACAACTTTGTTTTTGAACGCCTCGTTTATTTAATTAAAATGATCATAAATTATAGAATATTTTTTTATATAAGTGAAATGTTATTATAACTATTTTTATTTTAAAATCATAAAATTTATATTTTTATACAGTTTTGGAAAGTGCTGCGTAAGTTCTGTTTTACTAATCGATTAGTAAAGATAATAATTTCTGCATGTTATTAACTATTTCACTTTGACAGATTGGATTTAACGTCTCCGGAGACGTTAAATCCAATCTGTCAAAGTGCTGTTTGAACAGTTTTTAAAAATTCTAGACCCGATTACGGCATTTACAATGTGATATAAATGTTATCAAATTGATATTAAAAAAAGCATATAACTAGGATGTTCAAGCCATCTTTCTTGCCAAAGTTGCAAATATAACCAGTGCTAGCTATCAAACCTCGGGTCTTCTAACTATGGAGCAAGCAGTCTAATAAATGTTCCGTGGCTGCTTGCTTTTTTATCCATTTTTTGTAGCCACAAAAGTTGTTTTCGAAAAAAAATTCCGCAAATAAATGATGGAACATTTGCTTAATTGATTTTTAACAAGAAAACCTTTTAATGGTAATTAATTTTAAAAAGTTGATCAGTTAAACCAAGTAGCACAGAATTGCAAGAAGGTAAAGCAGCTAGTAAACTTATTTTCACTTTATAAAGTTAATGTAAAAATGATTCTGTAGTTTTTAAGGTGCTCCCAGAAGTCCTTACGGTCTTACCATAGAGCGCCGTGGAAGATCATTTAACTAGGGAGTTCACGCCTCCTTCCTTACCAATATCGCTTATAGAGCTAGAGCCACCGTTGAACCTCTGATTTCTATGTTCTGAGCCAGAACTCTAACCACTGCATCACGGCTTTTTATTATTTATTATTGTTATTTATTTTTAGTTAAGCTTTTTAGGTTAGGAGCTTCTTTTTTTAAATTTGGTACGTTTGAAAAAATAGGATTAAAAACAAAGTTAAGTTTTGCAGTTTCTTTTAACAGCCTAGTTTTGACTGACAAAGAAGACAATGCTAAAAAAAACTTTTTTTTAGTGTTTCTCAACCTTTACTCAAATCTCGCAGATTTTTGGAGGCTAAATTGGAAGTAAACTTAGTATTGAAGAAACTTGTCATACCATTTTATTGCATCTCAAAGGTGCTTTCCGTAATCATTCTTGAGATGTGGAGTTGTTGTGAAGTTTTAAGTGTTATGTTGAGTCGTCACTTTATCAACATTTTTTTGTTTGCAAGGTTTGGTATTATTAGATATGCTTTGGTATGCATATAACAAACCTTTCACTATTTCACAAATTATACATACTTAAAACTAGTTAAAGCTTTACCTTTAAACTTTGCGGCATTTTTTACACATCACTTAGTTTGTTGCTGTTATTGTTATAGTGCTTCCTAGCTTGTTTTGAAGATTTTTTATTTTTCAACATTTTTAAATCTTTTAATTGTTTTAATTTTATTGAGACATACGCTTTTAAATACTGTCACATCTGCATTTTTTTATTTTATCAGGAGAACATTTGTTGCAAAGCAACCTTGGAGGTGATGCTGTACAACGTATTCTGATGCTAAATGTTATTGGCGTAGATTCATAAGGTAGTAGTTAAGGTGGTGTAGTTAATGGTGGCTGTGGTGGTACTGTCATAGATAGAGGTAGTTGAGATTATGAAGACTCAGGTATTATGATAGAGTTTCAAATGTAGTAAATAGTAACTTTTTGCGTACGTTTAAAAACATCACCAAAGCTAAAAGGTTTTGCTTGCTAAAAATTTTTTTTTAATTGCTGAACTTTGTCTTTATTTGCATGAAACTGTTGAAGAAATGTAGCCAAACTCTTTTGACATGGTGATTAATGTTAAAATCTTGCGGCTGCAGAATGTGAGACAAATGACCTGGTAAGCTAATTAACAAGATTTTTTTTTTGTTATTTAGGTGTCCCAAGAAGACCTAACGGTCTTGTCACAGAGCACCGCGGAAGTGCATTTAATCTGGAAGTTAATTTGATAACTATAATAAAATATTTATTTATTTAAAATATTAATTACATAATTAAACTAAAGTTTTAACTAATTAGTAGGAGTTTTTTTTAATGATGGGAATTAATCAATTTCTATCTATTCGGATGGAGATATTGGGTATACAGTGTTGTCTGGATTATTTAAAACACATTTTATATTAAAATAGATTTGATAACGAATGATTTAAAATTTATACAAAGAATTTATTGGGCTTTATTGGTCAGTTATGTATATATATATATATATATATATATATATATATATATATATATATATATATATATATATATATATATATATATATATATATATATATATATATATATATATATATACATATATATATATATATATATATATATATATATATATATATATATATATATACATATATATATGTATATATATATATGTATATATATATATGTATATATATATATATATATATATATATAATATATATATATATATATATATATATATATATATATATATATATATATATATATATATATATATATATATATATATATATATATATATATTATATATATATATATATATATATATATATATATATATATATATATATATATATATATATATATATATATATATATATATATATATATATATATATATATATACGAAGAGCTTAGTGCTAAAAGTACTCAAGTCACAAAAAAAATGTTTTGAGAAAATCTATTTTGATCAGAGAAAGAACGCTCTTAAGTAAGGATTTAAAATGGCTGATCAAAGTACATTTTCTTAAAACATTATTTTTGTGACTTAAGTACTTTTAGCACTAAGCGCTTCATATCTAAGATATTTTTGAATATCAAACTTTTAAACCAGAAAAACTGGTATTTTCAAAGAACATTATTGTAAAGTTGACAAAATCGTCTTTGTTATTTAAATCGTCGGTGTTACGCAACGTTAAATAAATTGTTTTGTTTTAAGCTAATGAGAAGATATCAATCACTAAGGTAACAGTTATAAATACCAAAGTCAATAAA